GGGGGGGGGGTTAACCTTTTATACTTGAGATTGTCATGTTTGTTGTTTTATGTTTCTGCTTTGCATTTTTTATTTGCAGGGAGATGTCATGTGCAATAGTGACCTCTACTGCTGCAGCAATAGGTAGGGGGGGGGGGGCAAAAAAGAGGAGGAAACGAGATGAGTTCAGTTGCACGAGGAAGGGGGACTGGTGCCAGAGCAGGCGGGGGGGGGGGGGGGGGGGGGGGGGGGGGGGGGGGGGGGGGGGGGGGGGGGGGGGGGGAGAAAGAGGAGGATTGGGCAATGAAGATGTGAAGGTGCGATTGGCAAATCTGGAAAGGAGTTCGGAATCTGAGCTAAAAAGGGTGAAAGGCATTTATAAAGAACTGTTTGAGGATTTTGAGGAAAATCGAAAAAACAGGTGCAGAAGTTGGACGCAATTGCAAAGAAAAAAGTAGAGGACATGATGGCTTTGTCCAAGGAAGAATTGAAGGCGGTGCAGGGGAGACAAGAGAAAAGACAGGATGAGCTGAAAAGTGATGGAAAGGAGAGGAAGAAGGAGTTGCAACAGTTGCAAGAGGGTAAAATGAAAGTGATGGAGAAAGAGTTTGAACGGAAAATTTCGGTAATGGAGGGGAAAATGAAGGGAATGGAAGGAAAGATGAAGGAAATGGAAGGAGAAGTTAAGGGGGAGGGGTTGCAATAGTTCCAAGAGGGTAAAATGAAACTGATGGAGAAAGAGTTTGAACAAAAAATTTCGGTAATGGAGGGGAAGATGAAGGAAATGGAAGGAAAGATGAAGAAAATGGAAGGAGAAGTTGAAGGCATGAAGAGAGAGCTTGCAGTTATGGATAAGCGAATCCTAATAACGGATGCGTTCAAGAGGAAACGAGTGGTGGGAGAGGTGGAAGTGGAAGAGGAAGGAGGCGAAAATGGAAGGGAAGCCAAGCGATAAAAGAGCAATCGGGATCTGAAGAGACAAAAGTGGTGGGAGACGAGGTTTTGTTGGTATTGCTTGGAGAGAGGTCATGCACCTCCCCACAGATGCGAGACTCTTTTCTTTGACAGAGACGAAGGGTTGATCAGGTTTAAGGTCGTGAAAAAGGGTCCAACAAAGGACATGTGCGATACAAGGATTGAGAGGGAAGGCGCATACCCACTAATAAGAATGTCGGCATTCGTAATATTTTGTATATACGGTTATTAGAGTATCTCAGGTAAGTTCTGTAAGGTTTGGATCGTTAATGTGCATGTGTTGTTGTACTAATTGGTCTTGTGCTTTGTGATTGCAAACTATTTTTTTATCGACGACAACATTGTATGCGTATTAAACACATATTGGGGTTGTAGCACATATGAAGACTTGACGGTGTGTTATATATTATTTAAACCTGTTGTACCTGTTATATATATACATATGTACATGTATGTATATATAGATATATATATATTCCTTTGTAAGTTAAGAACTATCCTCGTGTTCGGCCCCACCACATTAGAGTACTGTGAGAGTCGACAGGTATCCAAAACGCAAATTTTAGGAAAAAATCTAAATGATTTTTAGTTTTCATAAGTGAACCGCGGGTTAGAATGATGCAGGGCCCCTTGATTTGTCATGCGCGACGTACGAAAAATGAAGACGGTGGTTAATAGTCCATGACAACCTATTGTAGAAGGTTTGCTATATGCGATGTGATCTTAAAAGTGTTATGCATCGTCATATCCACTTTCATTTGCAACCGAGTAGTACATGAATTAACACCGAAACGTCATGGAAAAATTATGGAAAGAGCCATTTACATACACGGAGCATCGAAGATTGCTGACGAAACTAACAGATGGAGTGTAACAAATAAATCCGTTAAAGATGTTTCGTGTGCTTTTAGACAACATTAACACGTGTAGCGGAGAAATCAATATCGCCGAAGTCATTACGTCTGTGTTGATGCTGGTCGAGGAGTTGACCACGGGTGAAGAAGTGCAAAATCAGGTGGAAGATGAGAGGAGAGAAAGGACAGGCGATGAAGGATGGGATTTGGCACCAACGCTTTCCCCAGGAGTAGCAATGGACCGACTAGAAAAGCATAGCACGTTCATACGTCCTCGCGCGTGGAACGCATCACCGTGCCTGGCGCGAAGAGTGCAACCGTCAGAAAGGATAACGGATTACCATTGCAGCAGTTTAGAGCGGAGCGTCGCCGTTAATGAAATAATAACATGCATGTCGGAGGGTAATGATGTTGGGGGCTGTAGCGTTTGTGCGAGCATTTCAAAAATAATCCGGTGGGCGACAGTAGGCGGTGACGAAGTTATCCCATGGTGGTTACACAATTTGTCGAAAAGCCATGCCGCGATGGCAGACAGGAAAACGGTCGGACGGGTGGGCTAGGTGACATCTGAAGCGCTTGGAAAGTTATCGTTGCAGACCGACGCTCAAGCGAATCCGTACTGGTGGCCATGTTTTCGGATCCCGTTGCGCGACAATGAAGACGGAGGAGGCTATGCAGACGCGGGTGTGATAGACGACAAAGTGGCTAAAGGAATAATTCGAGGCGCATTGAACCTCGAGAGGTGAGCAGATAGGAAACCTGTCATTGTCGTGCTGCGCTTACTGCAAGGGGCTTCAAACGTCATAGTTGAGGAAGCTACAAACGCCACAGTAGAGGAGGAGAACAACTGGAACGGGTGTTTGCCTACATGGGGAGTAAACGGGGCGGCTGATGACGATTGTGAGAAAATAAGAGAAGAAGTGATGAAGATGAAAGAGGAGAATGTGGAAGATATGAAATTGCATGTAGCCATCTGTGTGGGTCTGGTGGGGGGGGAAGATTCACAAACGGAGTGGGTATTATTTTCAGACACGGACATTGCTGGCGGTCTGGCAATGGTTCGGTTAACTGCCATTAGGTTCGAGGAGTTTGCAATTCGTGTCCGCGAGATTTGGGAACCGATAGTGAGCAGCGTATCGTTGAGCGAGGAGAGGGAAGATCTCCTGGTAACAGAACACGATACGCAGCATGGGAGGTCGAGGAATACGGAGAACAATGAGAGCGTAGAAATACGTAATCGACAGAGGAATATTGAGAAGGGAGCAACCGACAAGGAAGAGGAGAAGGGAGCGCAAGACAACGACACACCGTCGCAGGAGGAGGGAATGCGGCAAGAGAACCCGCCAGGGAAGGAGAAGGTGAAAGAATGGAAGTGCCTGTTACGGAAGGAAACCGTACGCAAAGGGGAAGCCGGAGAAGAAGAGAAAACCGGGAAGGGAGGTCGAACGTCTCGCTAGAGCCTCTGCTACCCACAGGCGTTCAAGCAGAGATGCCTCCTGTTTACAATGGTCCATGTCCGTGTTTGCATGAACACGCTGTAACATGGAAACCTCATGTGTACAGCAGCTCAACAACGGCTGCAAGATTGGCAGTTGTGTCGGCGGTGAGCAGAGGTGCAACAGTAGAGGGGATGCTGAACAACCTTGATCATTCTTCGGCACAGTGGAAGGTGCTGCTGCCCGTTAAGAACGAGATTTCTAAAGAGGTAAATTATTTTGAGGAAGGTCGTTTTGCTTTTTACGTAGAGAAAAAATTAAACGAACACAGACAGTCTCAACCATATTTGTCGTGGAGGGTGTAGATGGGAGACAAAAGTGGAGAGGAGCAAAAACTTTCTTCGAGAAATTGAAAGGTTCGGGGGAGGAGTCGCAAAAAAAAATTGCAATGAGAATGTCAAAGTTGAGTAACATTTGGCAGAACCAGGTCGTATTCAAGATATGCAGCAGACATCCTTACCTGAGATTAATCCCAGCGAAGACAGATCCTGAACCGAAAGAGTGTTGTGATTACCATGTGCCAAACGCAAAGGGAATAATCACCTCCGTGAGAAGGACGGTGTGCAAAGTCATTGCCGAGGAAGTAGAGGAAGTGGTAGCGGGGAAAGAGGATGCATGGGGTGCAATGCCGGATTTTTTTAAGGCTGTAATCAGGAGCACATACAGCACGATAAAAGGCCACGGATCGTGTATGAGTTTCTGTTGCTCTTTGGCTGGGGGCGCATGCGGGGAGTTGGTGGAATTCACCGATTTAGATGACGTGCAAATGAAATTGAATTTTCGGGGCGACCATGATGGGACAAACTGCGGACATTGCAGTAGAATTCATCCACCCCTTCCCAATGGAATGCTTGATAGACTGCTCCGTGTGCATATCGCCCATATTGATGGCATTGAAAAGGAACAAAATAAGCATGTTCACAGATTATTCATGAAGATTATAGAGGATACGGGTTTCGTGGGACATGCCGGCGAGAAAGTTTACTTGGATATATATTAAGACGACGGATTCAGGAGGGTTGTTGCAGATGTGCATGTTTATAGAGGAAGAAGATGTATAGATGTAGGCTGCGAGCTAGTGAGGAGGGGATTTGTGTATGTGCATCCTACATTATGCTTGCGAACAGAATTGCACGAGGTTCAGAGGGGTGCAGTAGAAGCTGCAGAGGAGCTGAGAAAGGAAATGGGCGAAAAACTTGATGGTGCGGAATTCCCACAGCAAAGGGGTAAAAGAGCATTCGACATTATCGGCAGTTCGTGGTTTCAAACGCGGAGAAACTTTTGCAAGAGTTTGTCTTTGAACGTGTGTGTGAATAAGTTTGAGCAGGAGCGAGAATTAAGTTTCACGGAGGATGTCATTGAGCTTGTGAACTTACACTTATGGAAAGGGATGGAACGACCATGGGAGTTTAAGAAAAAGCGGTCGAAKCGAGAAGAGGATTCAGGTAAAACAACTCGAAAAGCGAGAGAGTTGATGCAAGGTTCGTTGACGGAGGAAGAAACCGCAAACGAAGACGTGTTGCAAGTAATAATCCACGAAGATGACGATCTTTCGAAGGGCTGGCCGAGGAGGAGGAGGAGGAGGAGGAGGAGGAGGAGCAGGAGGTCGCGAATAAGGAAGAAGTAGGGGAGGTCAAGGAGGAAGAGGAGTCGGGGGAGGTTGCCGAGGAGGAAGAGGAGGCGGGGGAGGTAGAGAACGAGGGGTGTGAGGAGGCAAACGAGGGAGTTCAGGAAATGGAGAATCCGGAGGAAGAGATTATGGAGGAGAATAATGAGGATGAGATGGTGATCGAGGAAGAGGAGGGAGCAGAAGAGGAGGAGGAGGAGGAGGGCGAAAAAGAGGAAGGAGAAGAAGAAGAGGAGGAGGAGGGAGAAGAAGAGGAGGAAGTGGAAGAGGAGGAGGAGGAGAGGGGAGATGAAGAAAAAATGGAAGGAGATAAAGAGGAGGAGGAAGATGGAGGAGGACAGGGGGAATTAGAAGTGGAGGAGGATGGGGAAGAAGAGGAGGAGGAGGAGGAGGAGGACGAGGAGGAGGAGGAGGAGGAGGGGGAAGAGGAGGAGGAGGAGCCGGCTGACGAACGAGAGGAGATGTATGAGTTCTGCAATGAAAACGATGAAGTGGCAGGAGCAGGGGAAGACGTTGAAAGATACGATGGAGGAAAGAAAGTAACAGATTTAGCAAGTAACAATGAGGTACCGAATGTGAGCGTGAGGAATGTAATTGGTGTGAGAGGGAAGGTACATGAGAGAAGAATGATGAAGGATGGAGAGGACCACAATATGGAGGGATTTTTGGAAGGTACACGTGAACGTGGACAGGAAAGAAAAACAGATGTATCCAATCGTGCAAGTGAGACCGAAGAAGGCTCGGAATTGCAAGGAAATATCAATATTCGCAATTTGCCATTTCTATTTGGCAAGTTTTTAGAAGAAGTGAGGGGGAAGAAGCATGCGGAGGCGAGTGTAGATATACTGGCGTGCGAGTACAGGAGGACAAGATTGCGGGGTGTAAAAAGTTTAACAGGCGTGCTGGAGAGGTGACAAGTGGAGAAAGTGTCGGAAAAAATGATCTGATTGGCATGAAGAAGAGGGATGTCATACGAAACGCAGGCGCAACATTTGTTTGAGGTGGGTGGTACTCGGCCGAGGTAAAAAAAATATCCATGCAACAGTCCACAATATGTATGTTTGTTGATGGTAAATAATTATTGGAAGCGAGAACTTATATTTGTTTAGTTCAAGGGTTACGATTGAAGTACTTCTTATAATAAATATGGTTATGTATGTTGTGATAAGAATGTAAACTTAAATAAGAAATGTAATCAATATGAGATTGAAGCATATGTACGTGTAATGCTTGGGTGTAAGTAGTGACGTAGCAGAAATGTTATCATTGGGGAAATGCTTATAATAAATATTGATATATATGTTGTGTTAGAGATTATTGATAAAATGAAAGATGAATTGTATGTGAGACGTGGGTATATTGACATTATAAATTTTTGAAGTTATAGCAATGAATAATTGAGATGTTTACTGGGAAAGTTATATATATGACCTGTGAATGTTTTGTAGAAATGATATTTGACCCATTATCGTTGTAATATGTATATAAAAATATATATATATTTCAGAGCTAAAATAAGTGGATGTGTGAAATGTTGAAAGATTTAGTACAAGTAGTATGAACGAAAGTGTTGACATGTAACGGTTTGAATGTGTTGTTGAAATACAACGGTTTGAATGTGTTGTTGATATGAAAGAGTTTAAATATGTTGTTGACATGCAACGTTTTGAATTTGTTGGTTTATGTGGATGTAAGGCGATCTTTAAAATAAAAAAAATAAAGTCATAATATTTATGTTTGTTCAGTTTTGTATTCTTATGTGCGCCGGCAAGTGGCCCCGGGCCACTGTTGTAGCCAACAATTGCATATGATATGCATAATAAATTTTTATTTTCATGTGTATAAGAGGAAGCACATCGAGCAATGTATCCGTGGGCATACGAGAGAATGTTACCACTGCATGGAAAGTTGAAAGTATGCGTTGTCAGGGCAGAAACCCTGACAAGGGTATCTGCCAGTGTTTTTCAACGTCGGGCGCTGTCTGACATGTTCACTAAATTGGAAGACTTGATGAGATTGGCGTCGCCAAAGTTTATTCAAGACCAGCCCTATAACAGAGAGACCTAAATTTTTTTTGAACCTAAACTGAACTGCTTTCTGCACCTCTGCTTAAAACGCGTCCGGGTTCAGGAGCTCGATCCTACCCTTTCGCTGGTGGGACCTCGGCCAGTAAGTCGTGGCTAGGACACGACGTGATATGACCGTTGGCATTAGCCAACGGGGAAGAAGAAAGTAACGCGCTATCTGGCGCGTTCAGAAGTGACTAGGAACCTGAGAGTTCCCATTGCGATGACAGGCGCCCATTGAAAATGGGCAGCCACACTTAGGTAGAGCGTTTTCTTTTCTTTTTCTTGATTTGTTTTTATTTTGCTTAGATTTTTTATTTTTATTTTTTTTTCCCTTTTAGATTTGGGTTAGATATTTTTCTTTGTTCTTCCTTTTCTGCGCCCGTTCGTTTGAAATGTCGGACTTCCACCGACTCATCAGGAGGATGAACCTCGACAGTCGGCTTACCCCGACTGAATCAGCCGCATATATGCGGCTAAGTGCGGGTCCGAATTCTCTCTCAGAGAGAGAGAGAGAGATGGGTTGGACGGTGACGAGCCGTTTCGTCGGAGTCACACCGACTCATAAGGGGGTTGAGCCCCTACAGCTCGTCC